GCAAAAATATTGGAGTGGTTTACTATTTCCTTCTCCAGTTTATTTGATAGATGGGGAAACTGAGGCAAACAGAGTTAAGTGACTTGCCCAAGGCCATACAACTAGTATGTATCTGAGGCTAGATTTGAGCTCAGGAAAATGAGTCTTACTGACTCCAGGGCCAGCACTCTACCCACTGCACTGCCCAGCTGCCCTGGTGGTTTGCTAGGGTGGGTTATTTATCTGATGAGCCTCGATGTTGCCACACTGCCAGCTGAGTGGTCTCAGCTCCAACCGGACCATAGGCCTTTCTTCCAGGGGCCACCACCAAGGCTCTGTGAAGATCTTTGTTTATTTGGCCCATACCCCCTCTGCATTCCAGCTGTTGACTCAGCACACAGATACGGTTTGGATTCTGCATCCTAAGCTCTGCAGCTAACCCCAGGATTCCCAGGAACATTCCAGGGGCTCCTCATCTGATCCAGGTGAGCCGGAAGCTGAGCGCCTTCTGCTGACAGATTGTCCTCTCTGGATTGAACTTCTTGGCAAGCAAAGAAACTGAAAGTGGGAATTAAGCTCCTTCCTGTTCTTTGAGCCTGGCCTATGCCACCTGGATCCCCCTCTGGTCTGTCCAAGAACAGGAGAGATACTGCAGCATGAGAAGCTTCAATCTTGCACCAGCTTTCCAGAAGTGGGAAGATGGGTAACAGGGGAGTGAGTTTAATTTTGGCTCCTGAAAACATGGGGAAATAGTTGATGAAGGAGATAATTTGTCACCTTCTAGAAAGAGAAGTAGTCATCACTGAAAGGCTGCTTGGCTTCATCAACCATTCATTAGTTAAGAAGTATTTAGTCAATGCTTGTGACCGTATGTGCTGGGGGTACAGATACAAAGGGGAGGCAGACTACATTTGACTGACCATAAACAAAGTAACTGGAAGGAGGAGGCCAGCTCTAAGGCTGGCAGGGACGGGAGCAGCCGTCACTGCGAGCCTATGCCCTATAGTCACGGCGACACACAACTGGGGAGTCAGGAAATGCCTCTGGCAAGAGACGGCCTTGGAAGTAAGCCTTGAAGGGAGCTAGGGATTGCACAGTAAGTCAGAGGGGAGAAGGCCATTCATCCCTGGCATGAGGGACTTCCTGTGCAAAGGCCAGGAGAGGGGAGATGAGGTGTCATGTCTGAGGAACAGCAGGGAAGACTGCTTGGAGGAAGTGCAGGGGTAGGAGGAGGGTAGCCTGGGAACAGAGGCTAAAGCCAGACTGAAAAGCAGGAATGGCAGATGTGGGGAGGGTCCCCAAAGGAGAGCTGGTAGAGGAAAGGAGGATGGGGGTGGGGTTAACCTCCTCTACTGTCCTATCTGTATAGAAGACCTGAATTCTAGCCTTGCCTCTGGCTCACTGAGGCCCTGGACAAGTCCCTTCTCTCTTGGGTCTCAGTTTCCACTGCTGTAAAATGAGAAAGTAGACTCAATTACCTCTAAGAACCCTTCCAGCTTTGGCTTATAATTCTGTAATCTATGATTATCTCCTCTACCCCACCTCACCTAACAAATGCATGATGACTTATTCAATCTCTCTACTACCCAGTCAAAGGAACCTGGGTGGCAGGTTCAAAGCCAGGGTAGGTTAGTTTCCATTTCTGGATCTTTGCTTTCTCCTGAAGGAGCAGACTAGAATCACATGCTCAAGGATTTCTGGGAAGGACCTTGGAGGTCATCTACCTTGACCTTTTCATTTTTACGGGAAACCGAGGTAGTAAGTCCTGACCTCCACTAACAATGTGTTAAATCATATTCAGCTTTATGGTCCACTGAAACCCGCAGATCTCTTTTAAAGTGAATGCCCCACCCCATCTTGTACTTGTGAAGTAGATGTTGGGCACTCAAGCATAAGAATTTGTGTTTACCCCTAGCAAATTTCATGACATTAAATTTAGCCCAAAGCTCTGCATTCTGACCCTCCATTCAGTGTTTCATCTATGCCTCTTGGCATGTCAGGTACAAGTGTGACAAATGTGCCATTTCCATCAGTTTGTTAGCCCTGATAAAAATGTCAGACTCCATAGGACCAACAGCTATCCACTAGGGGTCACCTCCAAAGGTCACATCAAACCCTGGGCAGTCAACTGTTCTTTTGGTCCAGAAATCCGACCATTCCTGTGTCTACCTAATTTTTCTCTTTCCAGCCCATCTCTCTCCATCTTGGCCACAAGGATAGTATGAGACTCTGTCAGATCCTTTTCTAAAATCTCAACAAATTATCTACAATCTACATAAGCCTACCAGTTTAGCAGTCCCTTCACTTCCAGACAGACACCACATACCATGCTCGCACAATCCTTGGACACCTGCGTGTCCCATCATCAGAAATGGAAAACTGCAAGGCTTTTCTTCATTATGTTCCACCTACATCCCTGTAAGGACTGATGATTCATGAGCAAAGTTACTTTAAAAAATTTTAACAAGGACCAGTCCAGAAAAGTATCTTAATGAATGAATGGGCATTTATTAAGTGCTTACTGTGTGCAAGTACAGTGCTGGACACTGGCTATACAAACACAAAAAGCAGGACAGACCCTGTCCTCACAGAGCTTACATTCTAAAAGGGAAAGTCAACACACATGGAGAATGGTGACATATGATACTTTTCCTCCATGGCAAGTCTCATAAACTGGCTTCCAATGGAGGGATGCTACCCTCAGAGGTCATGGGGAGAACAGGTTTTTCCAGGAGTTTGCTGATATGTACATGAGCACACAAAAGAAGATTCATGGAAGACCAAGGTAGGATGGACACAACTTGGTATGTCTCAAGGCTGAGGAGGAGAACATTTCGGTAAGAATTCGATCTGACCTCCCCTCCTTCCATCCAGAAAGGTGTTACGTTGAACTACCTCCAGGATCTAATGGAAAGCTCTTCACAACCTCAACCTCACCCGACCTCTCCAGTCCCCTTATCCCTCATTCCCCAACACATACTCTTCCATCCAGTGACACCGACCTCCTGGCTGTTTCACAAATACTTCACTTTCAAAAACACAAATTCTAAGCATTCTTTCTGGCTGTTCCCCAGGCCTGGAATGCTCTTCCCTCTCTGCTCTGACTGCTGACCTCCTTGGCTTCCTATAAGTCCCAACTAAAATCCCACCTCCTACAGGCAGCCCTCCCCAGCCCCTGTTAATTTCAGTTCCTCCTCTCTGTTAATTATTTCCTATTTATCCCATACACAGCTTATTTGTTCATGGTTGTTTGCATGCTATCTTCTCTATTAGACTGTGAGTACTTGAGAGCAAGGCTTTTTTTTTGGTCTTTCTTTATATCCTCAGTACTTAGCATAATGCCTGGCACATAGTTGGTGCTTAATAGTTACTGTTGACTGACACACTGACTGTCTGGACTTTGAATTCATATTCCTGTTTTTTGGTCTCTGGATGATGATTAGTTCTCTTGAGTTTCTCTGAAGAAAAATATCTATCCAAAAGTCATTATTCAGGTGAATTTATTGGGCAAAAATGAGATTGGACTCTGCCTTGCCATCTAGGGTAGCACCGGTCCCTTGGGTAAGGATGTACCAGCATCCTTCTCCTTGGGAAGAGAACCTCTAAGGTCACATTGATGGCAAAGCCCATCTCTGCCTTTCTGTTCAACCCAGTTACAGCTTTATTCCAAGACACAACTTAGATTTTACTTTAATAAGATGAGCAAATGTGTTGACAAAACTCCTTCCATCAAGCTGGAACGAGGTAAACCTTCAACCAACAAATGTTGCCCCAAACACCAAGTTCTATAGAATCAGGTATCATTGCAACCCTAACCGTGGGAGTGAGTGATTGCATATATGAACGAAAATGCATTTGTGAAGCACTGTCTCTGTGCCAAGCACTGGGAGTACAAATACAAAGCAGACAGACAAGTCCCACAGGAGCCAGGGTGCCTTTGGCTTGGGTAGTTTTGCTTGCTAAGTTACAGGGATAGTGAGTGGAAACACAGGAATGATTTGACGAAGGTTCCAGAACTTGAAGGGGGATGGGGGGCACAGGATATGAGCCCAGCAGAGACCACAGGGCTAGCAATAAGGTGAGGTGTGACCGCAGCTCTCTGCTGTAGAGTGGAGCCTCCCAGGAGTGGCTCACCAAGTAGGACGGCAGAAGCCCCAGGAGGCACGCCAGAGCTGAGGGCAGGAATCCCCCCTCACTGTGGTCTCTGGTTAGGGCCAAGGCAGCTGGTCAGAAAGGAGCTGAATGCCCAGGGCCCAGATCTTCCCTGTAAAGTGCTACCCAATGGCACTGGTAATCTACCAACCAGAGGGGGACCCCAGCCTGATTCTCACCCTTCTGTTATCTCAGGTCCCTTTGGATTCTCATTAAGGACACCAGTAAGGACCAGGTGCCTCTTCAGCACATGGGGCAAGTGCCCCTGGGAGTGGAGGAGACAAAAGACAAACCTGCCAAACCATCTCCCTGATAAAAGCCTAGCATGAAGAGGTGGAAGGAGGGGAGCCCCTACCCCCAGTGACGGCAAATATGGAAATGGGAGAACCAAGCCCCCAGAGTGAACACTGTGCAATTAGAATGACCAAGTCAGGCCCAGAGAAGAGAAAATGAACTTTCCTCCCTCCTTCTGTGTGGAGGTGGGGGGCTGTGGGTGTGGAATACTTTCTATTTCCAGCCTCAGCTGATGTGTCAGTTGGGCTTTTTTTTACTCTTTGCTACAAAGGATGGCTCGCTGAGTGGTGGAGAAGGGAGAGTGACATTTGGAAATAAAGAGGTAGTTAAAAAAATCAAAAGTAATAATAAAATCATGAATGCCTCACAGTTTCTTTAAAGAAAACCCATCCAGGGGCAACTAGGTGGCGCAGTGGATAGATCACTGGTCCTGGAGTCAGGAAGACCTGAGTTCAAATCCAGCCTCAGACACATAACACTCACTAGCTGTGTGACCCTGGGCAAGTCACTTAACCCCATTGCCTCACAAAAACAAAACAAAAATAAATACAAGAAAGAAAGAAAGAAAGAAAGAAAGAAAAAGAAAGAAAGAAAGAAAGAAAGAAAGAAAGAAAGAAAGAAAGAAAGAAAGAAAGAAAGAAAACCCATCCGTAATATTGGGCAGTGGCCTTAACTACCAAGACTCCAGTCTCTAAGAGACTGGGATAGTCTGGGACAAAGAACTGGGTCTGCTGTCCTGCTGTCCTTCCTAGCTCCAGCCAGTGTCTCTAGAGACCTTGCAGGACCACAGTCCTCCCCTGCCTCACCCCCACACTGGGGCATGTGTGGGATCCCCTTCCCTACCCCTGGCCTTTCTCCATTCACCCTCCCTTAACATCAGGCAGGGCACTGGCTTTAGTCCCATCTCCATGGGGTCCCTGAGACAGCTCTGCCAGGAGATTTGTAAAAGGACCTCAGGCGGACCCAAAGGAGAAATCCCAATTTTAAAGAGAGATGCTGATGGTGACTTAAGGAAGATGCTGGTTTCTAAAGGGAATATCTGAGAACAGAAATGAGCCACTAGAGGAGGAAGGTGGAAGAGTTTTCTTCAGGAGCCCCCTCCCCTGGCCTCTGTTGTGGCCCCTCCTCAGACTGCTGGCCTTCACAGGCATACCCTGCCACAGAAGCAAGCACCAGGCCTGCCTTCCTTTGCCCGTGAGTTACTTCTCCAAGATGGCCTAGTCAGCAGGCCATCATCCCTGGCTTCTTCTCAGCAACAATGCACCAATTGCCGTGGTCATTGATGGAGCTCAGGACCCGGAGCTCTGGCACATGCTGCTCCACCAAGCAGCAGAGCTCCCCTTCCCGAAACACGTGGTAGTAACGGGTTAACGCTCCGGAGCCTGGCGCCTCTGCTTGTGATGCCCCAGTGGACATGGCAGCTGCCAGGCTGATGAAGGGAGGGGGGAGGGAGCTCCTTTTCCAGAGCTGGCTGGTGGCCTGCTTTCCTGTCCCCCCGGGGCAGGCTGACCTGCAGCTATGCTCCACTGTAGACTGTCTGAGAAAGCAGCCCCCTTGCTGCTGGCTGTGAGTGTCTTTGTGGGGCACTGTGGGCAGGGGCCACTCTGGGGTTTGCGTGAGCCCAGGGGCAATGGCGTCACCTTGTTCTTGTGACAGTGGCTCCTGATCGCCAAGGTCTAGATGACGGAACTTCGAAGGCTGGACAGACACGGGGTGACCTAGGGCCCATTCCTCTGTGGCATGCTCAGCCTTCTCCACATGCTCCTTTAGAGTGCATTCATCCAAAGATTGGGAGAAAAACCAGGAGCGGAATGACTTCCCTAAAATGCTATAGAAACCACTGTCCCCATCCCTCACTTCTGCCAGCTCCCTACAGCAGCCGGGAGGCCCAGAGCCATCTAGACTGTGGGACCGCTGGGATTCCTGCCTCTTCTCAAGGTACACGGGGCAGCCACAGACAGAGCAGGCCAGGCGGCAGGGGGGCCCATCAGGGGTGGCTCTGGGCTGTCCACACACACGCTTCCGTCCTGAGGGAGCTGGCTCTGCCAGGAGCTGGGAACACAGGGCAGGGTTCCAGGGAATGAACACGTCCTGCTTGTCAAAGTGCCGGTGGTTTTTCTCCATGGCCCAAACATAGATCATGACTTGTCCTCCGGGGGCCAGCACCCGTGCCATCTCCTGGATGGCTCGGGTTCTCCTTTGTGCTGTTGAAAAATGGTGGATGACTGCAAAAGAAGAGAGAAGAACTCAGAGCTCAGGCAGCAGTCCTGAGAGAGGCTGGCTGGCCTCTTCTCTGCAGGTCACAAAAATACTGTAGCACCAGCTACATCCAGCCTAGCGAACATGACCAGTGTCATTAAAGGGAGTCTGAGAGACAAGCCTGTCCAGGTCTAGCATAGAGCACAGCTTCCTAGAAAGAAGCCTTACCCATTCCTCCACTGATGGACTCTCAGTGGGGCCTTCATCAAGGCCCTTCCCCTCTCTGAGCTTGAGCCTCTGCCTCTAGGAAACAAGGAGGCTGAGAAAACGCACACTGTTTGGGGAAGAACCTTCAATTGCCTGAAAAATGCTGGGAAAACTGGAAGATGGTTTGGCAGTAATTAGGTTTGGGCCAACATCTTCCACCACATGCCATCTATGGTCAAATAAATACATGGTCTAAATAGGAAAGAGAACACTGTCATAGTTACAGCTAGGGGACAGGGCCTGGACCTGCTAGATAGTCACCGATTAGCAAATTCTCTCCACCAACGCAGGTTGAGTTGTCTCAAGCCCAAGGAGGTGAAGAGATATGCCCAAGGTCAAAGCGTCAAGAACTGAACTCAGTTCCAAGGAACACAACACATTGCTTCTTATAATACACATGTGTGCTAAAAGAAGTACAAAATACTCTGTGAAATTTAATGAAGGAGAAGTCACTGCTGAGACCAGTAATCTGGGAAGACTTCATGGAGGAGCTAGCATTTGAGTTGGCTTTTTAAAAGATCTAGGAATTCAGTAGGTGAATGGGTAAGGAGGGAAAATCCAGGCATCGGGAACAAAGTCACAGAGGTGGGAAATTGCAACACATATTCATGGTTCAGAACATTCTGATTTGTGATTAAAGAAAAATAACATAGAGAATACCAATTACATGGAATTGGAAGGCTCTAACACAAACAAAATCAATACCCCAAGGATAAGAACAGAAGCTATCAAGAGAGAAAAAAATCTTTGTACCAAATATCTCTGGCAAAAATAAAAGATTAATATATAAGACACATAGGGAACTAACAGCAATATAAAAAATCAAGCACCATTTCCCCCCGCGGATAACTGGTCAAAGGCTGTGAACAGACAGTTCTCAGAGAACTGAAGACAACTAACAACCATACGAAACAGTGCTCCAGATCACCGAGAATAAGAGAACTACAAATCAAAACAACTCTGAACTTTCACCTCACATTCTGCAAATTAAAGATGAGAAAAGATGGAAACAGTCACTGTTGGAAGGGTTGTAGATAAAGTTGGCACATTAATGTATTGCTGGTGGAGCTGTGAATTAATCCAACCATTCTTCTTGTGGTTTTTTTTTTTTGGTGAGGCAATCAGGGTTAAGTGACTTGCCCAGGGTCGCACAGCTAGTAAATATCAAGTGTTGGACACCAGATTTGAACTCAGGTCCTCCTGGCTCCAAGGCCAGAGCTCTATCCACTGCACCACCTAGCTGCCCCAATTTCCAACCATTCTTGAAAACAAAATTTGGAATTTTGCAAAGAAAGTTTCTAAAATGTCCATATCCTTTAGTGTGGAGATTCCATTCTTATGTGTGTGCCCAAAGGAGGTCACTGATAAAAAAAGAAATGCTCTGGCACATCATAGTAGCAATATTGTATGATCATCAACTGTGAAAGACTTGGCTACTCTATCAAGACAACAATCCAAGACAATCCCAAAGGACCCATGGTGAAAAATGCTACCCGCATCTAGAGGGAGAACTGATGAATTCTGAGTGCTGACTGAAGCATATGTTTTCACTCTCTTTTTTTGGGAGGGGCTTTTTTTTTTTTGCAACATGGCTAATATAGAAATACATTGTGCAGGACTTTGTATGTATAATTGATGTCTTACTGCTTGCCTTCTCAATGTGTTGGGAGAAGGGCTGGATGTAGGAGGAGAATTTGGAACTCAAAATTTTAAAAAGAATGTTTAAAAAAGACACCTAAATGCTCCTTATACACCAAAATACTTGCAGCAGCACTTTTTGTGGTAGCAAAGAATTGGGAAAAATAGATTGCCATCAATCGGGGAATGGCTAAATGAATTGTGGTGCTTGATAGAATATTACTGTGCTGTGAAAATGATGTAAGGGATGGATACAGAGAAGCCTGGGAAGATCTACATGAACTGATACAAAGTATAGTAAGTAAAGCCAGGAAAACAATATAGCCAGTGACAATAACAATGGGAGAAATGACAACAGAAACAGAATCCTGCTAAATCGTACAACAGAGTGAGATGTGACCCCTCCCTTCTCTTCTCTGCAAGGTGGGGGGTAGGGAGTATGGAATACTATATTTAACATCAGATCTTTCTGATATCTTGGTTAGCTTTGCTAAACTCTTCTCTTTTTTTCTTCTTTATGTTAAGAGATGGTTCTTTGGGAGAGGAAGCAGGGATACAACAGAAAATGAAGGGGTTATAAAAACAAAGCATGTCAATAATTTTAAAAAACATATGAAAAGCTGCTCCAAAGCTCTAAGAATAAGAGAAATACAAATTAAAGCAACTCTGGTGTCATCTCACACCCAGTAAACTGGCAAAGATGACAAATGGAAACAGTTCCTGTTGGAGGGGCTGTAGGAAGACAGAACATTAATACCCTGCTGGTGGAGCTGCCTGTTGGCCACACATTCTGGAGAGTGATGGAGAATTAAGGTAAAAGTGGTCTTAAAATGTTTATGCTCTTTGACCTAGAGATCACAGTGCAAGACCTATATGCCAAGGAGATCAAAGATGGAGAGAAGGGTCCTGTGCCCTCCTATAGATTCACAGACATACTTTTTTTATGATTGAAGAGAAATTAAAACAAATAACATGGCCACAGCTAGAGGATGGGTCAAGAAACTGTGGCAGATAAGAGCACTGGGGTGAGAAATCATGAGAAATGATGAGTAGGAAGAATTCCAAAAAGCACAAGAAGGCAATACAAACTGAGAAAGGGTGACAGAAGCCCAAGCAGGAAAACCACCCAGTTGGAGCAACCACAGAAAGGGAAAGAAGGACGACACAAACTACAGACATCTGAGCTGGGCCCTGGAGCAGGGAGGAGAGCATTTGCCTTGATCCCTTCCTAGCAGAGGTGGGGAGCAAGGGGTGTGGACCATGGCATACACTGTCAGACTCTGCTGATGTGCTGACTGGTTTTTCTAGATTGGTTTTCCTCTTTCTCCTCTCTTCTTTATAAGGGAGGCTTGTTGGGTAGGAGAGGGGGAAGGATGTTTACAGAAATGAAGCTGATGTCAAGACTAAAGACAGCAATAAAAATAAAATAATAAAGCCAGACCAGATGATCGCTAAGGTTTGTTCAGGTCCAGAATTCTAATTCTTGTCCACTTGGGGGTGGGGGATTAGGCAAGGTGAACTAATGGAGCTGGAATGATAGACTATTTCTAAAGGTGCCATTTCATTACTTTCAGACACACCCAATAATACTGGGGGGTAAGCTAGCTAAGTAGGCCGGTAGAACTCCTTGAGAGAAGTACCTCAATGAAGAGGTCAGAATGGCTTGTAATGAATAACTATATCATTGGATTCACAACTGAAAGTCCATTCAACAACCAAAGGAAGAAATTAGAGCTGGAAGAAAATCCATTCAGCTGGGGTGACCCCGGAAGACTGCATAGAGGAGGTGGCCTCTGGACTGAGTCTGGAAGGAAAGGAAAGATCCTGAAACATGCAGAAGAACCACAGCCTCTCAGGGTCCTTCCCTTGCTCCCAGGCTCAGCCCAGGTGCCACCATTCAGGCTGCCCCAATTCCCTCTCCTGGCCCCCCTGTGAAAGTGATTAGTGTTTCTTCTCTACTTCAATTTCTCTACAGTCGTTTATTAGCATGCCTCATCTTCTGTAATAGCTAACTGTGCACATGTGGATAACCCCAAGAAGATGGGCAGGGACTGTTTGATTTCTGCTTTGTATCCCCAACCCCTGGGGTGCAGTCAATGCTTCATATTCCACATAGCTCATCTGTCATCCTCCAACACTCGCCCCTATTCCAGTCTCCGTTTCTGGTGAGGGCATCGCCACCCTCTCAGTCACCCAGGTTCACCACCCTGGACTCTCTTCACCTTCTCTCTTTCCCCTCCCCTCCAATCAGTTGCCAAGTCTCAATTCTGCCTACCCCAATGTCCCTCATGTGCTCTCTCCCTCTGCCTCCTTCTGCCACCCAGACTCCACACATGCAGCCACAATGAGACTCCTGAAGGGCAGCTTTAAAAACAGCTCCAGGGACTCACTCTCTCCTCAAGGGGAGACAAACTCCTCTGTTTGGCCTGGAAAGCCCTCATCTCCAGGCTCCTGCCTCCCTCTCCAGGCTCATTGTTGGGGTCTCTCCTTCATACAGCCTACATCTCAGGCAGCCTGGATGATATGATGTTTCCTGTCTCTGAGCGTTTCAGTAGCCGGCCCCCCACGCCAGGAATGCCCTCCCTCTCCACCTCTACCTCCTAGAATCCCTCGCCCCCTTCAGGTCTCACCTTCCACTGTGATCTTAAGCCCCCCGGCCAGTGAAAACTGTTGCTTTCTACTGACTTGTTTATCTATGTGTGTATATGTGTGTACATGTATATGTATGTAAAAAAGTATGTGTGTACAAGAGTGTAGTTATGTGCGTGCTTATTTTTACAACCATGTGTCATTTCCTCCGAATAGAATGTAAGCTCCCTGAGGAAAGGTCCCATTATCCTCAGGGCCTAGTACAGAGGCTAGCACATGTATATAGTGGGTGATTAATTAATGCTTATTAAGTGAATGAATGCATGAATGCAATGTGTAGACTATTATTTATCATTACTAATACGGTTTGAACCTAACTTTATGTCACTAGAGATTGTCTGAACGCAGAATGTCACCCTGACCTCAGCAACTCTCCAGGAATGACAAAGGTGGCTACAAGGACCCCCAAGACCCAGAATGTTTGGGTCCTTTTACCCAGGTCTTGTTCTGGGTCCTAAGCCTGAGCTGTGGGTTCCCTTGTGTTTCAGCTTGGCCTAGCTTGGATTCAGTGTTGACGCCGCTCACATCTATTTCCATCTTCCTTGCTTTCAGGCCGCCCTCTTGGCGAGGTTGCTCAACCCCATACTTGTGACCTGTGCGCCTTGTCTAAACCATATGTAATGTCAGCCTTCCAGAGCCTGGATGCCAGGCAGCCATGCCTCCTCCAAGGCAACCCAATCAATTTCTTTCTAAAATGATTTCAGATTTGGGAGGGGGGGAGTTGTGCTTGCAAAAAACAGAATGAGCAGAGACTGGCACCGTGGGACTGGCACCGCTCATACAAGCATCAGCGAAAAGGCAGAATCCTGAGGGGGAGTGTGAGCAGGGCAGCCAGTCTGACTGGAGCATAGAACACACAAAGGGAGGTGCTGGGGACCCAGGCTGGAAAGGCGGGAGGGAGCCAGACTGTGGCAGAGGCTTTAATTACCAGGCTGATGAGGCTGTGTTTCATCCTGGAGGGAAGGGGGAGCTGTGGATGTTTCTGGAGCAGGGCAGTCGCATGCACTTAGGCTTAGGGTCAGACCTGTGCCGTAGGAAGATTATGTTGGCGGCTGTGTGGAAGATGGATTGGACGCAGGGCAGGGAGGCTGATGGGAAGGCTATGATAGTACTAGTCCGGGAGCTAGGTGGGGCGGGGCCTAAGGAGGGAGTGAGAGAACTAGGAGGAATAATTAAGAGAAAGAACTTCCCTGGAGCTCGAGCTCTCTCAAGGCTTTGGGGACTGGATTGGCAGTGGATGGAGAGGAGAGGGATTCCCCTCCCTGGGGGTCTGCAGACAAAAAGGCCACAAGGACAAGGATTTCTTCTGGCTTCAGCAGGACTCGATGTCCCGCAGGGCCTTCCCCCTCTACCTTCTGGGTTCCTGAGGCGGAGCCAGCGAGTGCAGCGGTCCCTGCCTGGCTGAGCTCCCTGGGCCTCCCAGAGAGGGCCCGTCTGGCTCTACATTCTGAGAAGGAAGAAAGGGAAGAAGAGAGAGACAGAGCGAAGAAGCGAGGGAAGGTGCCCCCTCCTGGGGAAGTCAGGAACGGGAAGTAGCAGGATAGAAAGACCCCCAGCTGCGGCGTTGGGGGCCTCTGCCGCTTACTACTTGTGGAGCCTGGTCATTTCTCTCCCTGAGCCTGTTTCCTCCCCTGTGGGGCTGGCTGCCCTCTGAGAGCCCTTCTGTGAATCTCCTGCACTCCTCCCTGAGGCTATTTTCGGTGCCTGAAGCTTCCCTCCAGAACCTCCAGGGCTAGTTGGGGCCTGTCAGATATTTACGTTCTATTTTAATTTTTCCAAGCCCGCAAGCCATGAGGACTTCTCTCTGGATGTCCCTGGGTGGTGGATGCTAAGGTAGCTCACTGACCTCCCGAGGGGTTCAGGAAGGGTCCCGTTCCCCTCCCTTCCTCACCTCCAATGGAGATAATGGCGTCAAAGCTGCGGTCTCGGAAGGGCAAACGCAGGTTGTCACACACCAGGACCTCACAGCCCCTGCTGTGCGCGATGTCCACCAGAGGCCCACAATAGTCACAGCCCAGCTTGTACACCTGGCTGTTGACGCGGAGATACTTCCCAGTCCCGCAACCTGTGAAAGACAAGACTGGCTAAGAAGGATGTCTCAGGGTGCCCGAGGGTGTGGCAGAATAATAGTGGGGCTCCACAGACACTCAGGCTGGGAGGAGATCAGGAGACATCATCTGATCCAAGGGGTCCCTCCCTTCAAGGAATCAGTGAGTTATGGTACAAAATAACATTTGGTGGCAGTGCCCAAGAGAGGGCTCAGAGGCAGTGTGGCTTAGTGGAGGGAGCTGGGCTCAAGTCCAATCTTGGACTCCTCTTGGCTGAGTGACCCTGGGCACGTCCCATTCTCCTTGGAGAGCTCCAGCAGCAGAGAAGGTGCCAAGGTGTGCAGCAGAAGGGCTTTCCTCACCTGCGAATGCCAGTGAAATGGACCAGCATATGGGGAGGGTGAGAGTCAGACAAGGGGAGGTAGGGAGAGATGGTCATTGTAGAAACAGAAAAGAGTTTGGGAAGGGAGCGGGCAGGAACTTTGAGAGCATGGGCGGGGACAGAGGGACTCTGGTTTGCCTGGAAGGGAAGCAGTTATGTCAGTCAGTGGATTGAGCACTCGCTAGATGACAGGCACTGTGATCAATGCTGAGGATACAAAAAAGGCCTCCCAACCCCTCCCAAACCCCCCAGGGACCCTGCCTTCAGGGAGCTGCCATTCTAAGATATACAGAATATATACAGAGCAGGTGGAGAAGCATCTCAAGAGGAGGGGAGGGGAGGGGGGGGCAGGAAAGATTTCTGGCAGAAGGTGGGCTTTGAGCTAAGACTTGAAGAAAGCCATGGAGGTCCCAGTGAGGGGGCAGGGGAGTAAGGGGGGAGAAGATAGAAGACTTGCCTTCAAACCCAGCCTCAGAAGCTTGTTAGCCATGTGACCATGGCAAGTCACAGCATCTCTGTCTGTCTCAGTTTCCTCATCTGTAAAATGAGGATAATAATAGCATCTACCTCTCTGGTTGTTGTGAGGATCAAATGCATTAATGTACATAAAACACTGAAACCTTTAAATGCGATCCAAATCCTAGCTATTATTGTTGCTGTTCAGTCATTATAGTCTTCTCTGACTCTCCATGACCCCATTTGAGGTTTTCTTGGCAAAGATACTGGAGGGGTTTGCCATGTCCTTCTCCAGCTCATTTTACAGATCAGGAAACTGAGGCAAAATGGTTAAGTGACTTGCCCAGGGTCACACAGCCAGTAAATATCTGAGGCCAGATTTATACTCAGGAAGAGTCTTCCTGACTCCAAGCCTGGAGCCCTATGCACTATGGCACCACCTAGCCCCTCATCATTATGACTGTCATTATCGTTATCATTACTGCTAAAAGCCAGGGGACCGGGAGACCCAGTTTTGATGATGCAACACACATACCTGGTGCTGTACTCAGCCTGGTTTCTTGGTAGAAAAAAGCATTTCAGTTGGGGGTTGGGAAGACCTGGGTCCAAATTTCCACTCTTCCATTTAATAGCTGTGCACCCTGAACACCCCCACGCAGCCTCTCTAGACACATGTCTGCTCCTCGGAGCTCAGAGGACCCTGGGCATTACTGGGCAGCTGGGGAGACAAGGGCCTTGCACCTAAAAGTCTGGCCAGCCTCCTTCTCTTGCGTTAGGTGGCCACACAACCGGTGTGACCTGGAAGAGGTGAACAGCTCCCTTCACAGCAGAGGGGGCTTTCTGTGGAAAGAAGACCAGGAGAAGCAGCCTTGTTCGCATTAGGATGATGGCTTGGTGCCCCTCCTTGACCTCACTAAACCATAGTGGCCCAGAGATGCCCCCATATGTTTCAAGAGGTCCTTGTGATGCTTCAGGGGGATGGGGAAGCCCCTACATTCTCTAATACTCTTTCTCCTAAGCATGAGCCCCAGATTGGAGGTTAGCCTGGTAATAGGAGAGGCTGCTAACCACAGGGGAGTTAAAGAACCTCTGCTAGCCATAGTGAATGAATGAATGAATGAATGAATGAATGAATGAATAAGCATGGACAAGGGCTTCCTTGTATATGCAAAGCTCTGGGCTGGCACCAAGCCCCTGCCCATCTACTTAGCTCCTAGGGCATTCTGGAGGCATTTCAGGGAGGTTTGCCCACCCTCTCCAACACCCCCATCCCTTTTCTGCATCTCAGTGTCTGCCTTGAGTTACAAATAGGCTGGCTGCCACACAGAGACCACAAGGTTCCCAGGTGGCAGAGGGGTGGAGAGGAGGACCAGGAGAAACCACTATGCCCTGGGAGGCAGGAGGCTGGTGACTTTCCTGGGACCAGCAAGGAAGGAGAGGGTGCCTGCCATCTTGGAGGGCCAGAGATGGGTGAGCCAGGAATGCTGGCTCATTGGGAGGTTTTTAAAAAGGGAGAGTGGAGGTAGGCAAGGGAGGGGCTGGTTTCCTTGGGATGGGGAAGAGGGAGGTAAGTGGATCAAATTGGAGCTGGGAGAAGCCTCACTGTGTGCTGGGACCTGATGTGTGTGCATGGGGGAGGGGGGAAAGAGAGAGAGGGGAAAGATGGAGACAAAGAGAGTTAGAATGTCTCTCTTGATGCCTGAGCCAGTGCTGAGAGGGAGCTGGGAGGAAAGAGCAGGATGGTCCAGTTCCTCCTCCATTCTGCTCAGGGACAGGAGCCATGTGCCATTGCCTCTGCTAAGAGGGTATTAGACTTGGATATCTCAGTGAGTGAACCTTTCTCTAATGCAGGGAACCTCACCTAGTGGAAGTGGACACCCTCTGCTGTGGCTCCAAAGTGGCTTGCTTCGGAGAAGGACTTCCCGAGCTGAGCGCTCCCCTAAACTAAAGCAGTCTGCCTCCACCGGGGGCTTCCCCTTCCCTCAGGGCCTTCAGCAAACACGGGCTGATCCCATGATGGGCCAAGATGGGGATTCCCACTCATGGCCAACCTGGCCAGCCCTGATCGCCCGGGGAGACGCTTGCTTACCTATGTCTGCGACGAGGCTGCCAGGTTTCTGCTCCAAGAGGAACTGGCGGACGCGTGGCCAGGCCTTGCCTTGCAGGTCACTGAAGTAGGCCGCTGTGCTTTCGTAGACCTCATGCACATGGCGTCTTTCCAGCTGGGCAGCGGCCTCGGGCTCCATCCTTGGGGAGAAATGTAGGGTCTTAGATGCTTTACAGGCCACCCTGAGAGAGGCCACAGGGAGTCTGGGCTCCCCTGCATTGCCTCTAGAGCCCATTGTTAAATATTCAGTGAGCGCTGATACCTCATCAGGGCTCCTTTTGTTGATTTCTAGACTCGAGAAACTGAAGAAAATGTCACTACTATGAATTAAAATGAAAAATGTGCTGTGTGCACATTTGTTTTTGGACAGCCAATTGTTAAACATTTACCAGTACACCCCTACCTGGAGCCCATCACATCCCCTAAACAGGCATTTCCAAAAGGGGAGTTACTCTTCCCAAGAGGCTTGGGTTCGTAACCCCATCTGTCATCATCTAAACCCAGTTCTCTCTGCCATGGCCTGATTCCTTATTCCTTCACCCTTCCCCGGGCCCTCCCACTGTTTGGGGAAATGCCCAATCCCTGGGTGACCACCTGACTTCCATCTTCTCCGCTTCTCATCCTCCATCTTCTGGCTCACTGAGGCCTGGCTCCCCCCTTAGCTCCTCCTCATCCCCCCCACAGTGACACAGCCTCCCTGGCCACCCTTTCCAGCACTAGCCGCCCCTTCACGCATTCTCCTGACTCAGTGGTAAAAATGGGTGAGTGGGGATACTCCTGGCTCCCCACTGCCACCTGTAGGCTCTCCCTCTACCCTCATCATCACACTCACTCCACTTCTGCCACCCAATCCACTCTGGCTGTCCATCAGCCTCCCAGACAGTCGTCCCCTTTCCCGCATGAATTTGGTGCTGGGCTCCTGGCGTTTCTCCTCCCTACTCCTGCTCTCACATTAGTGAGACTTCAACATCTATATTATCAGTGCCTCAACCTACCCTCCTCCCATGAGCTCCTCTTCCATCCCCCCCTCAGCATAGGAGGCCCTGCTGTAAATTAGAGAATGTCCTACATAAAATATTTGTAACTAGTTTTACAATGTCATGTTTGGAGTTTTCATAATGATAGGCAGAAGAATATATTTTACAATAATATAATGTACATTTTCATTGGGAGTTTTGGGGGGCAAAAGTGATCATTGTAGTTATTATAAGTACTTAATCAGTCAATCTAAAAGAATATGTTGAGTAGTATGTTAGAATACCCTGAGGAGTTCACAATATATTTTTTTCATTTTGTTGAAAGGGATTCAGGAGATAAAATAGCTGAAGACCACTCACGCTCAGGTTTGGTGATTTCATCAGCCCCCCTTCCCTGGATTCACTCTTCATCTCTACGCTGATGATTCTCACATCCATAGATCTAACCCTAACCCCTTCCTTCTGCATCAGCCCTTCCCCCCTCCCCAGAGGAAGCCCTCCCTCATTCCTTCATTTGTGGGGCCACACTCTCTGTGACCAGCCCAAGGGTTTGAAATGGCTGCTTCTCTTCCCTGCCTCAGGAAGGCTACCTGAGTTCATGCCAACAGCCCCCAGCCCCTCTTGTGCTAAGGTTATCTGACCAGGCCTGAGAGCTGACTCAGTCCTGGGGTCTGTGGTCTGCCATTCAGGCCAGGCCCAAACTTGCACTAGCTATCCTGAAGCTGGGGGGGGGGGCGGGGAAGGTGCACAGTCAGCAACGCCAGGAGTGCATCCTGCTTAATCAATGAGCTGTGACAGATCTCTCGCCCACATCCCAACAGCTTGCATCTCACCCCAACCAGTCACCACATACACATATGTCCAGCTTCAGCTGCCCACGCCCTCAAAGCATCCAAAGCAGCTAAACAGAGCGTTTTCTATCCAGAGCTGGGGTTGGGGAGCCCTGGCACAGTCATCAGTATCCCCGTAGACTCAGTCAGTCAGTCAGCATGTATTAAGCACCTACTATGTGCTGGGGAGACAAAGAAAGGCAACTAACTAGCCCACAGAACAACAGCATGTACACATACACACACCACATACATACATATGCACACATATGCACATGCATACACATACATACACACATGCATGCATGCAGGTCACTGAGTCCCACTGGCCAGTGAACAGAATGTCCCTGGGCCCCAAATGCATTCCTCTACATTTACACCCAATAAAGGGACATCTTCAGCTTCAAAGTCAGGCTCTCCACAGCTTGTGGGACTGCCCCATCAGAGAAGGAGCCCTGGGCACAGAGAAAGACCATGGTCCCTGGGGCTGTGGCCAGCAGCCCCGCATGCTCCATACTGGCTGTGGAGGCAGGGTCACAGCTTTCCCTCTGTCACAAGGGTGCGCAGTGAGTCAGCCAGGCCTCTGCACCCCCTTCCTCTGTTCTTGGAGAAACAGCCCTGGATTATTTCCATGCCCCAGTCCAGTGGCCCTGGAGGACAGAAGCATGCCTCTGATCCCACCCTGGCCCAGGAGGGCTCTCCTGCCTTCCCAAAGTGTAGTTCTCTGAGAGCTGTGGCCTCAGGGAGGGTCCAGGCAGCATGGTGACCACAGTCGTACCCAAGCTTACTCCTTTCCTGTTCCAAGGAAATTTGGAATGTCACTGTGCACTTCAGATGTTCCAAGTGCCTGCAGGGCACAGCCACTGTTCAGGGTGCCCTCTGGGCTTCACCAGAGCCTGAGGGCATGAACATACCAGCGGAGGGATGGAAACACATCAGAGCAGGGACATCCACCCTTTCTTCTCTGTCTATATTGATAAAAATCTGCGTGTGCTAACACACATAAATGGGGCTCCCCCTCACTGAATTGTGCTCATCTGGAAGGATGAGCGTGGTATTTCAGTGGCCCGGCCCACAAGAACCCCGACCCTCGACTCCTGCACCACAGAGAGAACAACGGCCCACAGAGAAGATGCAGGCAGCATCAGGGCCCCAGACTCCAGAGGTGATGAGGGCAGATGGTGAAGGCCCGTGAATGTTGATAAGGCGCAGATCAGGTTCATGCAGATGGAAGCAGCCTGAGCCTTCGATAAAAGGAGGGAACCCCACCCCAGTCAGCCAGGGTTGCTGAGGGAGGCCCCTGCCCCATTCAGGCCTGTCAGTACAGACACAGTCATCATCACTGAGTGCTTGCTAGGAGCCGATGGTTAGAGGCGAGCCCAAGACGAAAGACCTCTATGATAAATGAGAGGCCCATGTTCTGAGTAATGAGGAGTTACCATACATGTTCTAATCTACAGGCTTTCCCTGCCACCCCTGGACAGAGAAAGGAGAGAGCCCTAACTCATAGCTGATTAAAGACGGTAATTAGGCAGGTGGAGCAGGCAGCTTCCTGAGGCTGGCACTAAGCCTGCTGTTGCAAGTTCATGGATAAACTAAGATACAAGTCTCTGGTAGGTTGGTGAAGTCAGAGGTGCAGAGTGGGCAGGGTGCCATTCTTAGAGAGGCCACCAGGGGGCATCATGGGCAGCTCAAGCCAAGCCCAAGTCCCTTGTCATTTACAAATGCGGAAACTGAGGCCCAGAGAGGGTCTAGCTAGGGTCACATAGGGTGCAAGAGACCAAAGGGAAACAGGAGGCAAGACTTCTGACTCTAAATCCTGGGCTTTTTGGGTCTCTGTGGAGCGATGCACGTCCAGGGCTCTGCAAACCTCAAGAGGTCTCCAGGCTCCACTGCTGCGGCCCCAGCTGGAGGAGCTGAGTTCCCCTGGCAGGACACAACTTCTCAAGGCTGGCCAGGTCACCTGGAGCTGCTAACAGGCTGCTGCATGAGAGGTACGCCCCAGGGGCTCCCTGCTCGTCCCCAGGGTTCAAGGTCTCCCCGATCGTCCCCACTGATGGGTCCGAAGTCACACAGAAGCAGGGACAAGCAGGGACGAGCAGGGCACTCCTGGGGACCAGGCAGCTGCTTCTTTGCTTCAGCTCTCACTGGGCCACAGCAGGAGGCCAGTTTTTCTGTTTCTGCCATCCTGGTGTGCAAGGGACTTCTGCCACCAAACCCTCGAGGGACAGCATCCTCACCCCTGGCACATGCTGGACCCTGATGGGTGGGAGATGGGGGGGGCACAGAGAGGTGCAGAGCTTCCTCCCTTTCTTTTGTGAGCATGGAGGAAGGCTACTTATAGCTCTGGTAGGAAGGGAGCTGTGAAGAAGAGGGGGCCTGGAGCTGAAGGAGGAGGTAAAGTAGGAAGGATGTTCTGGTGCTCCAGAGTCAAGAAGAAAGCCAGACATTGACCTTGTGGAGGAGAAATGTGAGAGGACAGATAGGGTGGAGGTGGGGGAAAGTTGGTTGGTAAGACCACTTAAGTGATGAGCAGGACAAGGGAAAGGATGGGAGAGGAAGGGGTCACGCCTGTGAGATATTAACAAGCTAAGACAATGACCAATCTCCAGAGTTGAAGCCGCCCCCCAAACAGGTGCCACCATAGGTGCCCAAGGGAGGGCAGGCAGGCAAGAAACACAAGGAGCCACAGGTGCATCATGCCAGCATTTTAAGGGCCCCCTCTGTGCCAGACCCTCAGCTGGGCCAGGGATCAGAAAGACAACAGAAGGCCCTACTGCCCAGAGCCAATGCTCCATCCAGTGACACGTCCAGGTGTACATGGGCAAAGCCCAGCCTCTCCTCAGCAAGCGTGGAGAAATCCTGCAGGGCAGGAAGGGCACACACGCCAGCCCCGGCAGCAGCTTTCTGAGATGGCTAAGTGCCCACTGGCTGTGCTCAGAACACAGATAGTGTGCCCAGTGCAGGGAGAGAGGACAGACTTCCCATGAAGGTGGTGCTGACCTGAAGGAAGGTCAGAGAGGAGCCCAGCCTCCTGCCCTCCCCTATGCTGACCAGCCAAGATCTAAAAGGGGCATCAAATCTAAAAGAAAAGACAGGAACCTCCAGCCCCCAGCCCAGGAGGGCACAATGTCAGCTCAAAGCCAACAGACACAGGGAGAAGGGCCACTGAAGGGAAGCCAGCCAGTGCCCTGGCCGGGGACGCTCCACGGACACTGGAGCCCAGAACTGGGCTGGAGGACACAAGAAGGGCCACAAGCCCAGGTGGGCAGAACACCAGCATGGTGGGGAGGTGGAAGCCAAAGGCAGCAGTCCCAGAAATCAGAAGTGAGATGACATAGGGCCTCAGCATCCTGTCCAAGGGCACTGGAGAGGGGATTCTGGCCCAGAGACAAAGGCTGGAGAGAGGAGTAAAGAGAACCCTGAACACGATGAAGAAATCTGTCTTAAGAGGCGGCCCAGAGATAAGCACACGTATAGGTGAAACTACTGTGACCACAAGCAATTTCATCCTAAGTGTCTCTCCATGAGTCCATGAGGCAGAGCTTCAAACATCCTTCTAAACGCCACCTGAAAGGTCTCGAGCAGTTTAGCAGAGATGTTCAGGCTACCCCAAAACCAGTGTCTGGGGGTTGTGGAGGTGGGCCCCAGACCAGGCCTCGGCCAAGCAGCTGTGGTCCCCGACACCACCATCACCTCCCAATACAGGAAATGTCACCAAATCATCTACCCAGAATGAGCCACTGTTTGCTTGGGGGCCAGCTCTTCATGACAAGGAGCACATCCACATTGTCTCTCCCTGCTGAAAGGCCACAGCTTCCTCTCCGCTCTCCCAGCAGCTTGTAAGGAGATAGGAGGAGCAAAGCCTGGGATTTCTGGTGTGGGTTGCCCTGCATGCAGCCATGCCTCCAGCAGGCCTTTAGACCTCTTTCTTTCTCTTGGTGCTCTTTTTCTCCTTCAGCGCTGTCCAAGTCAGACTTCTTGAGAGCCGGAGGTCAGGAAGGACCAGGAACAGCCCTATAGTCATTTAAATGGTGGAAGGTACCTTAGAAGACCCTGAGACCTCCCTGCCTGGTCACTGAGCGAATCAGACCTTCAGGAGGGCTTCAGACTGGCTTATTGGTTTAGCGAGTGGCCACGCAGGGCAGCCTGGAGGCCAGTGGGGCTCTGCTCAACTGAATCGGCTCTTGGCATCCTTGAACACCTGTCCCCGTTGATTGTAGAGGCAGCAGAAAGCACCCTGGGCCGTTAGGAAGATCTATGACATGTGACTGCTGCTGGCCTCAGCTTCCACACCCATAAACTGGGGATCACACCAGCCCCTGCCTTTCAGGGCTGTGGTGAGTATCCCAGGAGATAATAGAGGTAAACAAAGTGCTGTTGTTATCCCAAGCAAAAGAAAGATGACCATGTGGTGGCTCGGAGGCACAAATAAGCTGGCCTGGGCAGCTGCTGGGTTCCCTTCTCACTCAGGCTCTGGGCTTCCATAAGCCCCTCGGCCAGCTGCTGACCAGGCTTGTGGCTACAGGCCCCATCTGGCAGGGGCAGCCACGGAGTTATCGAATTAGGAAGTGGAGGAGGCCCCCAGGCAAGCCCAGACTGCGGGCCTCAGAGAGAGGGCAGCTGGGAAAATCAGGACATGTGCACCTTAGGAGAGATTCTGGGCCAAAATTTGGAAAGAGGACACCAGTATCAGTGTGCCCTGGTGTGGACGCTCCTCATCCCCCCCGGGGGACAGTGCCTGAGGGGCTGGTTCTGACTCTTTGGGCTGGCTCTCCCACATCCTCCACTTCCACTGGCCCAGCTCTGGGGGATTCCAGGCACGATGAGATGGCCCACCATGCACACTGCTGCTTGCTTTAATTTCTACTGTTGGATTAAGGGATGAAAATTACAGTCCACTATATAACTAGTGGGCAGCCAGGTGGCACAGTGCACACAGTGGTGGGCCTGGAGTCAGGAAGCCTCATTTTCCTAAATTTACACTTCCTAGCTGTGGGACCCTGGGCAAGTCATTTCACCCTATTTGCCTCAGTTTCCCTATGTGTCAAAGGGGCTGGAGGAGGAAATGACAAACCACTCCACTATCTTTGCTAAGAAAAACCCAAATGGTTTCATGGAGAGTTGGGCATGACTGAACAACAAGTCCAGATATAGCTCTGCCACACAACCCTGCCCTTGCCCATCTCCAGCCTTGCCCCTGGCCATGCCTGGAGTGCTTGCCCTCCTCATCTCTGGCTCACAAGATCTTCCTTCAGGACACAGCACAGGTGCCATGTCCTCCTTGAAGCACCCCCTGATCCCACCAGCTGCTCCCTCCCTTCCTCCCAGACTCGAGTCAGAGCTGCCACTCTTTGGGGAGCACTCAGCCAGGCAGGGATGGCAGGCTGGACGGCAGGGTAGTTAGTGACAGTTCTCACAGCCCTGCTGGCTCCAATGGGAAGCCTCCTGCTGCCCAGGCTCTGGCCCGGTGCCCACACCTTAAGCTTTTGCCACTCTCCCCTCCCCTCTTCCCCCACTCCAGCTCTTTGCCCTCCAGAGCTTCTGTTCTCATAGTGGGAAGGGGAGGAGATAATGATAATAGTGGTGAGAATAGACTAATGATAACCAACATTCTTAGAGCAAATCAAGGATTACAAAGCACTTTAGAAGCATGTGCTCATTTGGTCGGTAAGTGCTATGATTATTGCCATTTCACAGGTGGGGAAACCAAGGCATGTGGCCAGGTTAAGCGACTCGCACAGCTAATTAGCATCTGAGGCAGGATGTGCACTTAGGTCTTCCCATGCTGGGTCCAGTGCCCTATCCACTGCACCACCCAGCTGCCATTAGCTAGATGAGAAATTTGAGAGTTAACTGGGCGTTCCTTGAGCTAGACAGCGTGGGAAGAAGAGAGGCAGGAGGCGGGGAGTCAGATTAGGAAGGGCATCCAAGAGCCGGCCAGTGATGGTAGGAGTTAACACTGGTATGAAGCTGCAGGGAGTCATGGGAGGCTCTGGAGCTGTGCTTTGAGAAGCCTCTCCTGACAGCTGTGTGCTAAACAGACTGCAGAGCAGAGAGCCAGCCTCAGGGAATTGAGGGGCCCCTGGTCCTCCACTGTCACTACCTGGCCCCCTGAAGGCTGGGGCGGGGGGACCCTGGGGCAGGGGCCAGCTTACCAAACAAGGAAGCCCCCAGCTCAGTGCATCTGGGATCTCTGGGGGATACCAGCCCATCTGTGGCATATGGTCCTTGAGAATGTCTGTGACTGAAAAAATGCCTCCCCAAGGCCAGGGTCTAGGGATAGTCCTGCCTGACTCTGGCTGGCTGCTGCCCCTGGACCTGGGCACAGAATCCATCTATCCCCAAGCCCCCAGTCTCAGCCTTTCCTGCCCCCTGGGGCTGACCTGAGCTGAGGCACCTGTTCCGTGCCACGGAGAAGGCCGTCCGTGGGAAGGACCCAGGAATAGTCACTGTGGCTCCAGAGCCTACTGGAAGGAACAGAGCAAGGCTGCATGCCCCACCACACCTCGGGTCATTGGGTCATTCAGGGACAACCCAATTACCATTGGGATGAAGGCAGAAAAGATTCTTTTCTTTGAGGCTAAATACCCTGGGCAGAAAAGGTCAGAAAATCCTACTAATTGAGACTGAGTAGAGGAAAGCCTGGCCTAAGGGTGTGATATCCCTAAGGTACTCGTGTATGTGTGAGCATGTTGTGTCCATGCGTGTATGTCTATGTGTGTGTGTATCTGGGATTAATCGAGGACTCCCAGAACAAACTCACCCCAAAGCCACTCACCTGAGTCACCGAGAGACAGGGGTCAAAGGCACAGTTAGTGCTGCAGGCACTGCCAGGGCACCCCAAGACCACCGGCTAGTCCTGGCTGTTGTCACACTATGGAATCTACCTGGGCAGCCTGGCGGGATGGTCTCAGAAGCCCAAGGTCTTCCCAGCACACTGTATTTGGAACACAGGAGTCTGAAATGAAAACAAATGGAAAACATCCCTTTGTCTGAGTGCACAGCCCACATGTCCATAGCTCAGACTGGACGCAGCTAAACTCGGTTACCCAAAGCCTCCTGGAGGCCCTCCCCCAATAAGGGGCATCGGAGGTGTCCTCACCAAAAGCCCCTTAGCACCAGACAGAGAGAGGCAGACAGCAGCACTAAGGAAGTGCCAGTGCCCACTCCCCACAGGGGGACAGAATGGAGTCAGCAAACAACAGGCCTTGAACTTGGCTTCCTTTTTCATCAGAATTCTAGAGCATCACGGCGGCCAGAAAGAAGCCGCTCAAGGGTGTCTCAGGCACAGGGCGTTTTCTCCCATTTCTCCCGCTATCTTCCATCCCAGTCCCAGTGTTCTATCCCAGGTCAGGACTTGAGGTAGGGCGCTAAGGAGCATGGAGGAGAGAGGGCAGGGTGAGGGCCCTGCTTCAAGACCATGCAATCCTGGGATCTAGTGCACAAAAGAGGACTCAGAAGGGAAGGGGATAAGTCTTGGTCGGCTGCTACGCACCAGGCACTGTGCTAAATGCCTCACAAGGACCCTGGGAGGGAGGTGTCATTATGATCTCATTTTACAGAGAAGGAAACTGAGGTAGACAGAGGTGAAGGGACTTGTCCAGGGCTACACAGGGAGTCTCAGGCAGATCTGAACTCAGGTCTTCCTGGCTCCAGGCCCAACCCTCTACCCTGGACAAGGAATCAGACCTAGATTATAGACCACGGACTTAGAGCCAGGAAGGGCCACAGAAGCCACTGAGTCGGACCTCTTAAACTGAGAGATACTGCTCTAAGTGTCTAGAGGCAGGATTTGAAACCAGCCCTTGCTGATTCCAAGTGGAATGCTGCTTGGCCTCAGAGGGCTTGTCTCCCAGCTCCTGGCCCGCTGCCAGCCAACAGGGCCAGATGCTCTGCCCCAGATGCCTCCTGGACTCCAAGGCGCCCTGAGCTCTGATCTTAGGCCTCTGCCTCCCCTTCTCAGACTGTCTTTATTCTGTGGACACTCAGATTTGGTATTCTCTTGTCTTGGGGGCTAAAGTACAGTCCTTGAGACCAGGAGACTGGTAAGGGAGGAGGGGCAGGTGATGAAGGGCTTAGAATGCCAGAGCATTTTGTATTTGATCCTGGAGGTAACAGGGAGCCACTGGAGTTTATTGAGTGAGGGTGTGTGTGTGTGTGTGTGTGTGTGTGTGTGTGTGTGTGTGTGTGTGTGCATGACATGGTTAGACTGAAGCTTTAGGAAGATCCTTGATGGCTGAATGGAGGATGGACTCGAGACAGGCAGACCTCCCAGCAGCCACTGCACTAGTTTGGGGCAGGGTCAGAGGAGAGAAGGGGGCATATTAGAGATGCTGCAAAGGAAAAACCTACTTGGCCACAGCTTGGCTCTGGGGGGAGAGGGGGGAGAGGGAGGAGTCCAGCTGATTTCTGGGTTGTGAGCCTGAGGGACTGGGCCCACTGTGGGCTCCTCCATGGTGACAGGGGAGGGCCTGGGGCAGTTCCAGGAGGAAAGACACTGACTTCTCTTTTGGATGTATCGAGTTTAAGATGTCTGCTGGATGTCAGTTTGAGATGTTCCATGGGCAGCTGGAGATGGGAGGCTGGAGCTCCAGGGGAAAAGTGACGCAGGGTGACTTTGGGTGGAGAGTGGGTGACTAGGGAGAGGGTAAAACAGCCTCTAGCTGCCCTTGATAAGACTAAGTCCCCCAGCATGGGTGACCTATGTCCTAGGGTCCTAAAAGCACTGTCAAACGGGATTGCAGAGCTGTGGTCAGAGACCCAAGGAAGACTGTGAAGAAGGGGAGAGGTGCCACAGGCCTGGGGAAGAGTAAATACAGGCCTAGCGCTCAAAAACAGAGAAGGAAATGAAATCTTCTCATTACAGGCCAAAGAACTTGGCATTGGCTCATGGGAAAAGTCTGAGAATTCATCATGAATGAGGCAGCTGGTGAACATGTCGACAGGAAAGCAGCGACTGCAAAGAGCCTGCCTGGCTTCATCAAGCACAGGTCATGCTGGACTCCCCTGCCCCCCACTTCCTTTCAGGGCAGGGTTTCTAACTAGTAGACAAGGGGAAGGCTGTGGATAGAGGCTCTCTACATTTCTGGCAATGCTAATTTCATGAACCAGCTGGGCTTGGGGAGAGCACAGATAGGTGCACTTGGAACTGTCTGAGTGGCTGGGCTAACCAAAGAGTTATCACTAGTGCAATGTGAACTTGGAAGGTCTCTGGTGGAGGGTGTGACTCTGTGCAGCCAGGTGCTGCCACAGTGGATACAGTGCTGGGAGTCAGGAAGACCCAAGTGCAAATCCAGCCTTGGAAACCGTGTCATCCTAAGCACTTCCCTGTCAGTTTCCTCAACTGCAAAATGGGAGTGATAACAATAACACCTACCTCACAGGATGATAGCGAGAATCAAATAAGATCCTATTTTTAAGATCTGTGCTTAGTACAGTATCTGACGACCTAGCAGGGGCTTTATAAACACTTTCTCCCTCCTTCCTTCCCTCCCTCCCTCCGTCCTTCCTTCTCTCCCTCTCTTTCCTTCTTTCTTTCCCTCCTCCCCTCCCTCTCCCTCCTTCCTTCTTTCCTTCCCTCCCTCTACTTTCTTCTTTCCTTCCCCCTTCTCTCCCTCTCTTTCCTTCTTTCTTTCCCTCCTCCCCTCCCTCTCCCTCCTTCCTTCTTTCCTTCCCTCCCTCTACTTTCTTCTTTCCTTCCCCCTTCTCTCCCTCTCTTTCCTTCTTTCTTTCCCTCCTCCCCTCCCTCTCCCTCCTTTCTTCTTTCCTTCCCTTCCTCCCTCCCTTCTTTCCCTCCTTCACTCCTTCCTTCTTTCCTCCCTTCCCTCTTTCCTTCCTTTTTTCCCTCCCCAGCCTGATCACATCTGCAGCTCTGTGGTCAGTCCTAGGCTTTACAGTTTAAGAAGGACATTGATAAACCAGAGACAGTGCAGAGGCGGTAACCATGATGAGGAAGGGCCCAGCGACCTGCTAGCTTAGGGTCAGTTGAGAAGAGTTAGGGAGTACAGGTGAGGTTTCCTCAAGTGTTTAAGAGGCTGGGACACAGAAGAGGAAGCTGGTACTGCTCAGCCCTCGAGAGGCAGACTCAGCAGCGGGAGCAGATGCAGCAGAGTCACATTTAGGCTGAAAGCACGGAAAACATTCCTAGCAACAAGAGGATCCTGAAGAGGGATTAGCTGCCAATAGTGCTAGTGAGTGCCCCGTCTTGAGGGGTATCCAAGCAAACTGATTGAGTCCTTGCCTGCTCTGTTATGAAGGGTGGGGTTTTTTTTTGAGGGGGGGAGGTGTGTGGAGTGGTTGGACTGGGTGGCCCCTGGCCCCTGAGTCCCTTCCCAGCTCTGAAATCCTGTGAAGGCAAATGGCAGAGCGATGCCGGGACAAGGAGGCAGGGGACCCCAGGACAAAGGACAGCAGAGGCTCAAACTCACTAGTAATGGGTTGAGATTTCAAAGGACGTTTGGATGGCACAGCCATGGCTGGAAGGAGGATTGGAAGAGCAGGGAGGGTCAGGCAGTGGTGGTCACCATGAGGACGGAGGGAGAGAGAAGGAGGCCGTTGGAGTTCTGCACCATGGACAGACAAGAGCACGGGCTGCTGAGGAGAGCAAGGGTCAGTGTGGTACCACCAATGGCAAGGCGGCCTCGGCGCCAGCCTCTGACGCTGTGACGCTGTGATCTGGAGGACCCCTTCCAGTGCCCCTGTCTGGCCTATGATCCTGTCCCTTGGGTGACTGCAGCAGAGTGAGGCTGAGATCATGGAAGCTTGGGAGGCTGAGGACCAGCAGGCCGGGGCGGCGGGGGGCCTGGGGGCCTTCGATACGTGGCTTATGAGGGCAGGAGGCATGCTAGGCCGGAACACTTTGAGAAAGGATGACTGTGGGGAGAGCCCAGGGGAATGCAGGGGAATGGAGTGAGCCTCAGAGGGCAGGTGGAGGATTAATGGTGGTAATGGGGAGTGAGAGGGCATGAAAGGAGGCCAGTTGGCAATTGGAGGGCTGACAGGGTGATCGGTATGATCACAGTGCCTCGGAGTGGGGAGGGACCTTTGAGACCATGGAGGCCAACCCACCCATTTTACAGATGGAGAGCCTGAGACCCAGAGCAGCCAGATGCCTGTCTCTGGGCTCTCATTCTGTGTGTGCAGGTGGATAAAGGACCTCAGCTCCAGTCCCAACCTAGCAGTATCCCAACCCTACCGTGTATTCTAGGCCACACTCGGCAGCCTCCTTGCATGCACCTCAAACAATCCCTTCTAACCCAGGGGAAGCCCTGGGGCCAAGCAGGAACTGTTCCCAACTCAGCACACTCACCTTCTGGGGTCTGGGTCCAGAACCGTACCAGGCTCATCTCTGGACCTCGCAAACCCAGAATGCCAGTGTTCCCTAGCCACTGGCTACCCCCATGATGAGGTGAGATTACGGGAACAGTCAGTCAGCCAACAAGCATTTAGTAGGCACCTACTATGTGCCAGGCATTGTGCTAAATGCTGGGGTTACAGAAAAAGCCCAAAGCCAGTCGCTGCCCTCACGGAGCTGCCAGTCTAACGGTGCAGACGCCCTGCCGACGAATCTGCACAAACTAGCCAGAGACAGGACAGTTGGAAGGATAGGCAAGGCTTCCTGCAGCAGTGGGATTTTAGGTGGGACCTGACACAGGCTTCACCCTCATGACTCAGGACAGGCCCTCTGGGCAGGCTTCCCAGAGGCTTCCCCACCTGCTGCCACTCTGGGCCATCTTTTTTTGGAAAGACCCCAAATCTGGATTGTCTGTATAGATGAGCCTTTCAAATAAAGCATAGGCTGCCAGGTAGCAGGCTCTTTCGGTCAGCATTCTGGAGATGACTTCGAACCTCTCCTTCCGCCCACTGGGCCAGTCAGGGGCCAGATCTTCCTCTCTCCCAGCATCTCCTTCATCTGTGCCCTTCTCACTATTCATCAGCCACCAGGGGACCCAGGCCTTCATCACCCCTTGCCCACACCAACAATAATAATGAATAAAAATCCTGAGAATCCTGAGAGCAGTAATAGCCAATATTGATAGAATGTCAAATTCTGCAGTTTCCCAGACAATATCTGCCCTGGGGAGCCAGGGCTGTCATCAGCCCATTTTACAGAATTTCTAGAACAACCACAAGTCTCCTAATTGGACTTCCTGCCTCCAGCCTCTCCCCTCTGCAATCCATGCTCCACAGCTGCCACAGTGACTTTCCTAAGCCACAGGTCTGGCCAGATTACTGCCCTCCCTCAATTCTAGGGGCTCCCTACTGCCTCTGTTCGACATTTCAAGCCCTTCCTACTTTTCCAGGTTTATCCACTTCTCCCTTTGCTCATACTCCATCTGGACATACTGGCCTTCCTGCTGTTTATCCGAGTGACCCTCAATCTCCCGCCTCTGTGACTTTGCCCTTGTCCATCCCAGGGAAGCTCTCCTTCCTTCTATACGAAGCCTTCCCTGATCTGCTCTCTCCCCTTCAGCTGCTAAAGCCTTGCTCCTTCCCACCTCCAATTACTGACATGTATTAGCACAGCAGAGAGGCTCAATAGCAGGCCTCAAAGCTAGGAAGGCCTGGCTTCAAGTTTCACCTTTGAAACATCCAGTGAAGGGGTTTCCCCATCTGGGAGCTCTTGATGGCATGCCAATGAACCCAGAGCTATGGTCCCTGCCATGGCCTCTATTTGTACCCACCCATATGGCTATGTACATGGCGTCTCCCCTATTAGAATGGAATCTCCTGTCCTTTTGGTGTCTGTACCTCCAGGGCCTAGGAGAGGGCTTGGCCCACAGAAGGGGCTTCAGAAATGCCCTTTGGTGGACTGACTGACCTGAGAGATGCGCCCTCTCTGACACCAGCCCCCTCCCACCCTCTTTTCACTGTGCCCACAGGGCTCCAGGGCACCTCTGCCCTGCCTCAGCCAAGCCCAAAGGTCCAGGGATTCTTTCACCATGCATTTCCCAACTTTCCCTCAGGTGCTGCTTGGTAAATAAAGTGGGAGAAAGGAGAAGAGGGCAACTCATTGGCTAGTGAAGGAGCTGGTGACAAGGCCCCCTCATTGGGGGATAGTCCAGGGAGCCAGGAAGCTAAGTGGGTAGAGCACCGGTCCTGGAGTCATGGAAGACCTATGTTCCTGAGTTCAAATGCAGCCTCAGACACTTCCTAGCTGTGTGACCCTGGGCAAGTCACTTAAACTCTGCCTGCCTCAGTTTCCTCATCTGTAAAATGAGCCGGAGAACGAAATGGCAAACCACTCCAGTGTCTCTGCCAAGAGAGCCCCTCAAGGGGTCACCGAGAGTCAGACACAACTGGAATGAATGAACAGCCACAGAAATAACCACGGAGCCAATGTGGGAAAGATTGGGGGCAGGGCACATGGTGGGGGAAGGGGATGTTTTCTAGTCCAGGTCTCCTGGCTCTCTCCTAGTGGTTTTGGGTCCTCCCCTCAAGTCTCACAAAGCCCGAGGCCCACCTGCTACACGCCCCCCACCCCCTGCCACAGAGCCTTGGGCAATGAGGAGTCGAGCTCCATCCCTCACCTGGCCACTATTCTCTGCTGAGCAACATTTCCCCAACTTTCTGCGGGAGAGGCAGAAGAACCTAGGGATCCAGGGTTCATATCCTGCCTCAAACCCTCCTAGCTGTGGGACCTTCCTCTCTCTGGGCCTCAGTTTCCTGCTCCATGGTCTCTGAGGTCCCTCCCAGCTCTAGCTCTGTGATCTCCTGGAATGGAGACATGGATGGGCTCTCCAACGACCCCAACACTTTTCCCCCCAAGCCGAGCTATCCCTGACTTGCTCCCCACACCTCCAGGCCTGCTCCCCCACCCCTCCTGCCTGCAATGGTATGGGGTGGGCGGGCAAAAGGGTTCACAACATAACCTTGGGAGATTTGGGAATCAGGAATTGGGGCTGGCTGTGGACTTACCTCGAGCCACCCGGCCCTGGCTGTGACCGTGACCATGGGCTGGGAGGGCCCTGCAGCGATTCCACGAGCAGGAGGGAGGAGGGCAGGCGGGGTTTCCAAGCCCAGATCCGGGGGCACCGGGAGGACCAGGATGGATGGCTGGGCCAGGAGGGGCGCACGGATAGATGGACAGGCTGCTGGCCAGAGGGAGGCGCGAGGAGGCGGAGCGAGCTCCACCGGGGCGCGGGGGGGGGGGGGGGCGGGGAGGGGGAGCACTCCTTGGGGAAGGAGTTCTCTGTGTGTGTGTGTGTGTGTGTGTGTGTGTGTGTGTGTGTGTGTGTGTGTGTGTGGTGGGGCGGGGCGGCTGCCCCCCACCTACTGTTTGTGCAGCAGCCCTCAACCTGGCCCCTACCTGGGAACCGAGCAGGGTCCGCAGCAGAGGCGATGGCTCCGCCCGGTGCAGCCCAGCCTCTCTCTCCTTCCATCTTTCTCCTCCCCTCCTCCTCTTCCTCCCATCCTCCCCTCCTCCTTCTCCTCCTCCTTCTCTTCCTCTCCCCTCCTTCTCCCACTCTCCTCTTCCTCTTCCTCCTCCTCCTCTCCCCTCCTTTTCCTCTTTCTCCTCCCTTTTGAAGTGTGACCTTAGTCACCTTCACTCTGGGGCTGTGCCGGGGCTCCTGCTTGACCCTAAGGAACTTTTTGACTGTGGAAAGGTTCCTAATATCAAGAAACCGGCGGCAGGAATTGAGCCCGTCCATGGGGCATGAGTGACCAGATTGTTTAAGATGAAGATCAGGTGATATTACTGCACTCAAAGAAATCAAGGCCCGATGAAAATGACGGAGAAATAAGGAAAGACACATAAAGTGAAGCCCAGTAGAGGAAGCCGGCCCCAAACAATAGACGCCGGGGATACGGCAGCGGCAACAAAATGATGAGCAGGTGCGTCAGGGCAAGCCTGGGAGCTGGGGACCCAAAGAAAGCAAAAGTCCATTCCGGCCCTGGGGACTCAGGCTAAGGGAAGACAACAGTGCCGACTACTTTAATGAGCCCGGGAGCTAGAGGCAGCCTAAATGGCAGGCGGGCAGGTAGCCCTTTAAGGGTTACGAAATATTTTGTGTGCATAATCCGATTGTAGGCTCATGCAACCCGGGGGAATCTGCAGTACAGTTAACAGGCCTGGAACAAATGCCTTCTAGACTCTAACGCCAGTGCTCACTCCATGTCCAGGTAAGGTAACAATGGCTCCCCACAAAATTAGGAACCCTTCTCCTCGACATATATACATACATGTGCGTAGAGAAAAATAAAAGGGTCAGAAAGAAAAAGAAACAACATCTTTGTCACTTTCATATTAAAGTTGTTATGTGTATATGGTTAGAACAGTGGACTGGAATCAGAAAAGAGCTGAGTTCAAATCCTCCCTGAGACACTTTCAAACTTGGAGGTAATCTCATGAGTTCCTGAGTGGGAGTTCCTGGGCCTTCAGTCAGAAAGAAGCTTTAGGAGGAGGCACTTCCTTCCCTTCACTGTCTTCTCAGAGGAGCTGATCCCGGCCTGACCGGGGATTGGGGTCAAGCCAAGACTTGTTTTGCCAGAAGACACTGATTTCGGCTCAGAGTGCAGAATCCAGGGAAGGTGAAATGTCTGCTGGGCAGATCCCCAAAATGTTCCCTCTACACACTGAGAGAAGGTAGGAGAAGTCCCTAGAGCAGTCACCTGCCAAGGGACACTTCTGAGTCTTTTTGTGTTCTGAGCATCGATCTCATGTGGAGGAAATCAATCATTGTCCTTTCCTGATCCACAATGTACATTGCATAACCTTCTGACTCCCTTTTGGGGACCTTCTGGATTCAAACCAAAAGCTCTGAGAGATTTCCCCAGCGCTTTAATGTGAGGGGTGTAAAGACCCAGAGATAAGCCAGAGAGGGACTCCTCTCTGTAGAGCACAGCATCCCCCAGGCATGAAGCCAGGATGTGTAGGGAGCTCGAAGCTGAGGGATCCCTTCCTGGGAGAGGGCATCCCCAAGCCCCTGAAGCCAGCGATTCATCTGTTGTTCTAGCCTGAAAAGATGGAGGGCAGAGAGCAGATGGGAAGTAGCAGGGGAGAAGCGGGCTCAGCACTGCCCCAGCCTGGCCCCTTAATGGGTTATTACGCCTCCTTTCCCATTAGCCGAACTAGGCTTCTTACTCCTTTGCTCAAGAAGCTTCAGCTACATCATGTGTCCTTGAGGATAAAGCGTGAACACCTCCCCTCTGGCTTTCAGAGCCCTCCACTTGAAGCTCGCCCTCTTACCAGGCTGATTGTGCATCATGGCTCCAGCCAAACTGAGGGGCCAGGGGCTGCTACGTGGTGCAGTGGATAAAGCACTGGCCCTGAAATCTGGAGGACTCAAGTTCAAATCAGGCCTCAGACCAAACACTTGACACTTACTAGCTGTGTGACCTTGGGCAAGTCACTTAACTCCAATTGCCAAAGAAAGAAAGAAAGAAAGAAAGAAAGAAAGAAAGAAAGAAAGAAAGAAAGAAAGAAAGAAAGAAAATTATGTCTTGTTGGGGCAGCTAGGTGTTGAAGTGGATAGAGTGCTGGCCCTGGAGTCAGGAAGACCTGAGTTCAAATCTGGCCTCAGACACATAACACTCACTAGCTGTGTGACTCTGGGCAAGTCACTTAACCCCAATTGCCTCATATTAAAAAACAAACAAAGAGACTGAGGGGCCTACAGCTCATGGGAGGGGACCTCCCATAGCCTACCTCAGTGACGACCCAGGCTGTCCCCCACATCCAGAATGGACACCCCAAGGCCCTTCGAGGTACAGCTCAGGAGGCCCCCCCCAATTAATTTGCTTCCCCCTTCCCCTGCCTCCTGTACTTGGCATGTCCTTCTCGGTAATGGTTGTCACCTCACTGTAGAGGCGAAGCTGCTGAGGGCAGTTTTGTCTTTTCGTCCAGAGTCCAGCCCTGTGCCTGGCACCAAAGGCACCCAACTGATGTTGTGCACGTAAGCAACTTTGGGTCACTGCTCTCTGAATAATCAAGCCAAAGGTGTCTGTTTGCCTAGCCACAAGTGTACAAATGAGTGTTGGGCTGGAGCCTGCTCACACGGGCTCAAAGGCACTCCAAGGTGCTGGGGAGAGCCAATTGTTAAATTTTCAGGGCCAGCATTTACATCTCAGAAGTGGGCAAACCACAACTCAGGGCTGGATTTATCGTTTTCTGGATTATCTAGGCTTAAGCAAATGACAGAGAAAATGTCAATAATGTAAATTGAACTTAGTTTGTGGGTACTTTTTTTTTGAGAACTAGTTCTTAAATTAATTGTATTAATTAATTGAATTGCCATTCAATGCTCTTGATGAACCTAAGCAAAGAAGAGCACTAAGAAGCCAACGCTACCATATAAATATGCCAACAGCCTCAGCAGAGGATGAAAGGAAAGAGCCATTCTCTGGTCTCGGAGCAGACCTCCCTACCCCCACTCTGGAGCCTCCAGCCCAGAGACAGCAGTGCTATAAAAATGAGGAATCTATATTCTCACTATCTGGTGATGTTAACTATGCTGTCACTAGTACAGTCCTCGACCAACATTTCCTCTGCATGAAGACCTGCATCGCCACCACATCATTCCCAGCCAGTGGTCCTCCAGCCTCTCCCTGAAGATCAGGGAGCCTCTCTTTGGAGATCGGCATTGAGGACTCCAGACCTTCCTTCTTGTGGGCTGCTCTCTTTGTTGGGGAACTTACCTTTACGTCAGGTCTCAAACCACCACTTTGCAACCGCTATATCCACCTTCTGGCATGTGTAGACAGCTCTTGTGTCCCTCCTAACACTTCTCTTCTCCTGGACGAGCCTCCCACCCCATCATCCTTTGATCTCGCTCCTTCCCTGTCCTGACAGTCTCCTTGGGACACAATCCAGTAGGGCCACATCCTCTCTAAAATGTGGTGCCCAGCAGGTCTAAGCAGGACAGAGTGCAGAGGAAGCATCCTGTCCCTCCTGTGGGGCAGAGGGCAACTCAGGAGACACAGGAAGGAATCTGCAGCCCCAGAACCTTCGTCTGCTGGGAGTCCACCAGCCAGTCTCCCAACCCTGCCATGCTGCCTCAAGTCTGCCCATCCTTAAAGTGATGTCCGGATTGGAAGGCCCTCCACCATCTCCTGGCTCCAGAGTGAGGACTTTAATGTAGGCAAAAACTGATTCTTGTCTTGGCTGCTGTCACACTGTGTACTCCTGCTGGGATGGATGGTGCCTCCTCAGAGAGGCAGGAGTGCAGAGGAGAAGGGACTGCACTTGGCATCAAGACAGCCTGGGTTCAAACCCCACTTCCAATACTCAACAGTGGTGTGCCTCTTTAACCATTCTGTGCCTCAGCTTCTCCATCTTTAAAACCAAGGGGCTGGTCTAGATGGCCCGCAATGTCCCTTGCAACTCTCTAGCCATGCCTGCTGCCTCCTGACCCTGCTGGCCTAGCCTTGGACAAACCAGAGTCACTGCCATGTGGGGAGGAGGCATTTTTGTGGAAAATACCAAGGTGAATGTGTGTGTGTGTGTGTGTGTGTGTGTGATTAGAACCTCATATAATATTCATGCTTGGTTCCTCTGACCAAGGTTTCTATTAAGTTAATAAAATGATTAAATTAAGACAATTGAAATGATTTGAATATGTGACCCAATCATTCATTTCTAAATCTAATTAGGAAGAAAAATGGCTGTACCGAGTGCCTGACTCATTCCCCTTCTCTTCCAGAAGTTTGAGATTGGGACATTTGGCCCTTGGGGGCCCAGAGAGGAGTGATTTGAGTAATAAGCAGAACTCACTGAGCAAAAGCACGGTGTTTACAATTGAAACAGAAGACCCAGACATTTCAGGGAAACCAGTGTAGAAGACCAAGACCTTATTGAAATGAGGGAGAGAAAAGAGAGAGAGAGAAAGAAAGGGAAGGAGGAAGAAGAGAAGGGAAAGGTGGGGAAAATCACAGGAGCTTGTCCCAGAAGGGAGTTTAGAGGCCAGCTAGTTCTATCCCCTCATTTTACAGATGAGGAAACTGAGACCCAGTGAGGGAAAGTGACTTGCCCAGGGTCACCCAGCTAGTAAGTGTCTGAGGCTAGATTTGAACTCAGGTCTTCCTCTCTCCAGGCCCAGGGCTCTCTGTATTGCACCACTAGTACCATGACTGATGAAGAGACCTGGGGTAGTTCTCAGAGCTGGTGGCCTGCTTGCCTAAGAC